AAAAAAAAAAATGTAAAGGAAAGTGCTTTGTATAAAAACATGGAGTAAAAACTATATGAGGTATGGGAAAATAGCCAAAATCGTAGCAGTGATCCAAGAATGCCTAAAGTTTAGGGAATATTGCTTTGGCCAGACTACTTGAAAATAAATAGTTCTAGAGTAAGGTATCTGTCCTGCTAGACCAGGAGCAGGCAGGCAGGGAGCCCCATGTTTAGGGAAAGGCATCCAAGTGGCTAAAGGGCCCGAAATAAATGGAGCAGGATGATATTTTGAGATATCTGACTTTGTTCTTTCTGCTGTGGAATTTCACCCCCTGACGAGGCAGCCCGGCTCATTGCCCCAGGGAAGGATGTGACAGAGCAGAAAGCAGGAACAAAGGACTCTTTGTGGCTTTCACCTCCTACACCTCAGAACTCTCTGGGTATCTAGAGCTCTGCAAAAAGTATTTTTGGGCTTGAAGAGGGAGGTCAAAAAGGTCACAGATTTGTCAACAGCGAGAGGGAAGATGAAGGGAAATGGGAGTAGAGAACCTGGTAGATCTTCTATCTTGGAAAACCTAGTCTTTCTTGACCTGACCTGACTTTCCAGCTACTGCCCCATTTCTCTGCTTCCCTTTGTAACTAAACTCCAAAAAGTTGCTTGTATTCACTGTCCTCAATTCCTCCCCTCCCTCTTCGCTCTTAATACCCCTCGAGTTTGGGTTTCTCACCCCCCACTCTCCCCAGCCTGCTGTCCTCACAGACGCCATCACCCTCCAGTGTTACTGACTTTGGCCAATTCTCCATCCTTGTCTTGGCCCATCAGCCGCATTTCTTGCAGTTGACCCCTCCTGCTCCTCCTGGAAACACTGTCTTCACCTGGCTTCCAAGGCACTACGAGCTCCTGGGCACTATTTCCCTCCTCCCTCCCCATTCCTCCTCCTCAGTATCTGGCTGGTCTTACTCTCACTTCCTTCAGATGTCTGCCTAAATATCACCTTTTCAGCGAGGTTTTTCCTGACGACTGTTTAAAGGAGTCCGTCTTCTCCCTGGCCCAGCCAAAGCAGGACAACGGATCCTCCTTTCCCGTTTTGTTTTCTAACATCCGTTACCACTTCGCATGCTATTTTATTGTCGGTCTCCTTTGCCCCCACCACTAGGACGTAAGCTCCTCAGGGCTTTTCATTCTGTTCTTTCCTGTATCTCATTGTAGAAAAGTCCTTAACAACACTTAGTAGGCCCTTTCCACATACTTCTAGAATGCACAAAGGTCTACAGAGGCAGACACCTGAGTCCCAGGGAGCCGATGGTGTGTGGCCTTTGGTATTGTCCCAGATCTCTGATCCCTGCTAAGGCAAGAAAGGTGTACTAGATGTTTTGGAACTTTTGGTTCCATCCAATCAGCCCACCTCTGACTTCAGCCACAGCAAGGGTAGATGGCTCCGTGGACACTGTCAGTGCCTTATTTCCAGCGTCTACTGTGGCTTTCTCCTAAGCCTCAGGAGCTCTCTCAACCCCACAGGCCTAGCCTGGGAGTGCATGTGAGCGAATGCCTTCACCCCATAAGGGACGGGAGCCAAAATAGACTTTGTTGACTTTTCCATCTGCCCTGTGTCACTCTCCTCACTCCCTCTCTCCCATTTCCTGGATTCATCTACCCAATCAACTGCACCCAAGTTCTAGGCTCAGGCTCAGCTTGTATGGGGATGCAAGCTAAAACAGTAGGGAGTAGCCCTAGAAGGGAGACTGTGGGGATAGGAATCTAGAACTATGGCTCATCCACCATTCAGAAGGCAACAGTGACCGCTTACCACTATTGGTCAGTGGTGGTGCTAACCCCTTGGGTCCTGGAGCATGAGACTCTTACCTTCGGTAGATTGGAATAAGGTAGAAGTGGAAGGGAGAGCTTGGCTTATGAAGTAGCTTTGGCACTTGAAAGATGGGAAGGCAGCTGTAGCTACTAGGATTATGGAGGTGGCTAGTTTTTCTAAACCTGCTTTAGAAACTTTGCTGAAAGAACATAAGGCTCAAGTGAACCTCCTTGAGAGGGCATGATATGGAAGCCAGAAAGTCTCCTGAGGCAACGTAAGGAAATGCTCACTTTTGCAGCCAGGAAGCAGAGCATGCTGACAGTGAGGCCCACGATGTGATCCTAAGGGCTGCAGAGCTGCAGAGGAGACCCGTCATTCTCAGCAATTTTCCTGTGCTATAAAGTCAGGGTATCGAGGGGGGGTGCTCCTGAGGCCTGGCATGGGCATGTTTGGGTGGTTATATCTAAGGATCTTGAGCCCCAGAGCCCCCGAA